TATATATACTTTTATGAAAAGATAATATTATTCTTGGTCCACATTGGAGTCATTCTTGGAATGATGCATTGTTTGAAGTTGCCAATTCAAATATGGATGTTTTGTGGCTTTTTGAGCCTAAAGTTCCAAGCTTTATCAAAGTATTGTCCCTGCTTCATGCCCTAAACCCCTTATTAAGCTATGAATGTGTGTTTTAGCCCGAAAATGCCATGCATGGACGTAAAGCTTGCAGCTTTACGTGGTATCTTAACCCTAGGGGACCAGATCTATAGTTTGGAGGCATTAGACTCGCTTGCAAAGAGACTTAATGAATTAAGACTAGGACAACTCGACAAGTTCCCTAGCCAACTCAACGAGTTGAGTCAGGTTTTCCTGCTTTCTGGATGATGAGGAACTCAACGAGTTACTTTGGTAACTCGGCGAGTTGTATCGAGCTTTCCACGATTTTCTGAGATATGAAGGAACTCGACGACTAAGTAGATGTACTCGACGAGTTGGGTCAACATGGACTATTGACCTTGGCTATTAACCTTGACTGTTGACTTTAACTTTGACCATGGTTGACCAAGTTTGACCTTGAGGGTATTTCGGATTTTAATGAGGTTAGTCACTTGGTGATTGTAGGCAGTTGAGTTGGAGCTGTGAGTTGGGATTGATATTACCGGTTCAGTAGTACTTGTGAGGTAATTTATCCTCATTATGCTAACAGGGTCGAAGCCACCAATGCCGGCCCTTTGGATTGAATCTTGGTTTATCGTATGATACTACGTGTAGTGATCGTGTAGATCTGTATCCTAGTGTGTAGGATGATGCTATGATTGATGATATGTTAGGCCTATATGATAACTTTGTGCTAGCTAGCGTTTGATATTATGTGATATTATGTGATCGCGAGTAGGTTGAGGCGCTCCTGCTTTGTGCTCAACGCCAATAGACCCAGGTCGGCCCGGATAGTTGGAAGGCCCAAAGCGGCGTACCAGTCAGGTCGAAGGCCCAGAGAACAGTTCAGATAGGCTGAAGGCCCGGTAGGGAGGTCCAGACATGCTGAAGGTTCTGAGAGTGGGCCAGATAGGCTGTAGGCCCGGTGAGGCGGTCCAGTCATATTGAAGACTCTGCATGCATACTATTTGTTTATGACATTGTTCTGGTTGTATGGTGTTGTTATTTTGGGGGAACTCACTAAGCTTTGGGATTACAGTTTTAGATTTTGTTTCGGCTACCTCAAATGATTAGGGGAAGGCGAAAGGTTGATCGTACACCTCCTCATATTTTATGTTATGATTTATGGGATTACTCTGATGACAAACTATTTTGAAAACAATTTGTAATAAATGGTGGTTTTTGGATGTTTGAAAAAGTTTAAATTTTACATGAATTTTATGGATGTTACAAGTTGGTATCAGAGCCTCGGTTTGAGAGAATTTGAGAAACACTCGTGTGAATCTAGTTTCAAACTAAGGAAAGAGATTTTCAAATGGTATTCAAATGGTTTTCAAAGTACTAAAGGAGGATGTGATGTGTACGATCAGTTGTAGCCAATAAGTAGAGCCCAAAATATCATACTGTTATTTTATATTGTGATATGTTAGAACAACATGCTAGTGATAGGCTAGGGATCCTCAGGAATTGCATGGTAGAATTTCCTGATTATATGATGCCTGATAGCCTACGGTTTCCTTATATGAAATTGACATCATTATTGTAGTTGCTTAGTGTGTGCATCACGGTTGTATATAACTAAGATCTTGTAGCCTAAGAATATTTGGTTTGGCCTTATTTCATGTTCTTGTTTGATGAAGGGCTTAGGGTAGGATCGAATATTCGAATGTCTTTAGGGTCTAGTGTTATGTATGGCTAGCATACAAGAGTGCTGCAGGGTTGGTGGGAGTTTCATGGATGAGTTGTGCGGGGTCAGTCGGCCAGTTGTGAGATGTTTAGCCTTCCACTATGAGCGAGGATTGAGCGCTTGCCTATGCTTGTGTAGATTGTTACGGCGCTGTGATGATCCTTGAGACAAATATGGGTAGGTGTGGAAGGTAGTATGGGCCCGTACTACTAAAAGCACAAGACCCATACGTGTAGCAAGGAAGTCACAACCCCTAGGGATGTGTTGGGAGTTGGTTCCCCGTTGTTTATATGGAATGTCTGATATCTTGCTGGTATATTTTTAGTATGGTTTATGAGGCGATTTGAGACCGGATCCTGGTCAGGATCGAGAGCTGGCAGTCAGGATAGGCCAACATTGACAAAGGATCGTGTCAGGGAGATCATCCGTGAGGAGGTGGTTAAGATTGTCCGGGGTCAGATTCCGGAGATGTTTGGGTCTATCAAGACTACGATGATGGAGTATTTTTGATGACTGATATTCATCCATTGCTGAGACTGCTGCTGCTGCAGCCTCTACAACTGTGGCGGCTGCAGATGTTGGGTCAGGACGGGTGTTTCAGTATCGGTACTTCGATAACACGAAGCCTCCGACTTTTGATGGAGTTCAGGACCCGATTGTAGCCATGAGGTGGATATCTGATGTGGAAGGATGCTTATTCACTTGTTCATATCCTGCTGACCAGAAGGTCAGTTGCGCTCTAAACCTCCTACGGTCTGGAACGAAGGACTGGTGGAGACTTGTTATGAGATCATACTCCGATGAGCAGAGGGCTGCAGTATCTTGGGATCAGTTCAGGGATATGTTTCGCACTCGCTACATTCCATGGGTTGAGCGAGAGAGGTTGGCTCAGGAGTTTTTGGATTTGAGACAGGAGTGGAGTTGGTGACGTAGATCACCCGAATGTTTACTGAGAGGGCAATATTTTGCCTTGAGTTTTCTTCTGAGCAAGCTCAGATGACTCATTATATGAGCATGCTCAAGACGGACATTAGAAAGTTTGTTTCTACTCAGCGGTGTGATACTTTGCTGGAGTTATAGGAGGCCGCCAGGCGGTGTGAGATTGAGATTGATTTGCAGTTGAGAGAGCAGAGGTAGCCCCGACACAGTCACAACCAGCTCCGAAGCGGTTCAAGGCCGTTGATTCTAGGTATAGAGGTTAGCATGGATGCACTTGTGGGAAGTGCGGGAAGGTTCATACCGGAGCTTGCCGATCCAGTGGTGTGTGCCACAAATGTGGCAGGGAGGTGTACTTTGCGAGGGATTGCCGCCAGTTAGCCCAGTTCAAGATATGAGGATTTGTTACCACTACGATCAGATTGGTCATGTGAAGACCAACTATCCGTTGCTCACCGCTAAGCCGGAGCAGGCCCCCATGCAAGGTACATTGAGGATCACTGACAGGGGTCAAGGCAGAGCGGAGCCCCCGAGGGCTCTAGGTCGCGCCTTCCAGCTTACAACCGAGGAGGCCAGAGCAGCACCTGATGTTGTGACTGGTATGTCTTTATCTCTTATCTTATTTATGATTGCATTGTGCTCATATGTTAGGTACATTCTTAGTGAAATTCTTGCCTACTCTTGTATTGTTTGATTCGGGGGCGAGTTGGACATTTGTCTCTCGATCATTTAGTAGGGAGTTTGTGTAACACTAGTCAAAATAGGTCAATAACAATCACATGTGATTATGCCAATCATATAATGTGATTTTGTTAAGCTAGTGATGTTATAAACTTACTATGTAGTTCCTGATAAATTCTAATACAAATATGAACTTTCATACATATTTTATGATACAAATCAAAGTATACGTCCACACGATTCCAAAAATATAGAGAACGTCGAAATCTGGCTTCGCGTGAAGAAGTTATGATAAACTCTAACACTATAAAATCTCTATAACAAGAGGAATTTAAAATAGTATTAGAATTTGCTATTTGAATCTAATAGAGAGTTGTAGTACTCGGAATTACCTACGTGTGGATATAAAGAACGTCAAAAACGGAGTTAGTATGCAAAAGTTGAGACCTTCCGAAGTTACAGCTGTCTTAGAGCATGACACATGTCAGAAACCCTAATCTGACTGGACTCACGACGTGAGCATAAAAACTCACGCCGTGAGGAGTCAAACCGCCACATTTTGAAGCTAGAAGTCTATAGAATGATAACCCAAAAGCTCACAACGTGAGCGAGGTTTTCTCACGACGTGAAGACGCTGCAGGACACTATTCGAGGCTAGAAAACACGCGTTAAAGCTATAGGATGACCCTTGCCATAGCTCACGATGTGGATCTATCATTCTCACGTTGTGAGGGCCAAAAAGCAGCCTATAAATAGAGGCTTCAACCTCAGCCATTCCTCACACCTAATCTCTTCTCTCTCTCTCTCTCTCTCTCTCTCTCTCTCTCTCTCTCTCTCTCTCGTTTGCTGAAGCCGTTTCGCTTCCCGAGCCCGGTGATCGCAAACTGCTAACTGTTTTTAGTTAGATTCTATCGAAGCACGATATTAAGGTGAGTTTCACGGCCCCACTTTCTAATATTTTCGGGGGGAAACGCATGCTAAATATTGTATATACGTTACTATTATGTCTATATGATAGTATATTAGTATCAACGTAGATAGTTATATTAACAAGGATATAGTTATTCTAAATATAATATTTTGAATATATACAACTATTATCAACTTGTTAGCATGTTATTGTATTAATGTAGATCTTGAGTTATACTTAGGATTCTATATATATGTTGTGTGCGATATAGTTTCGAAGTTATATTCGGGAGTTCTATATGTTAAAAAGTATGTTGTTGTTATTGGTTTTATGTCAAGATAAAACTTGATATGTTATATATTATTGTTGGTTTTATGTCAAGATAAAAACTGGTTTTACTTCAATTTATAGCTGTTATACTGCCTAAATGTTATTAAATTAGGAGTAATGTTTAAAAGCATAGTCCAGTAACTTAGGGTTTTAGACACGAAAATGCTTTTGTTATTAGAACTATAGAACGCCGTCAAAGTTTACATGAGCTATTGTATTCATCAACTAAGATTGGAAATCTTAGTAGAAATCCTCTGACCTGTAACCGTTAATCCGGTGTGAGCGAGGAAGTTGTATATGAATCTATACGGGTTGACAACCCCACCCGTGGTTGCTAGCTCCGATGATGCAAAAGAAACAATCCAAGAATGCGTATCCGAATACATAAGCTTTGTCACTGGTGAAGCCAATGACCGATGCCAACGTGAGCAAAGAAAGACCATCACAGCTGAAGATGTCTTGTGGGCCATGAGCAAATTAGGGTTTGATGATTACATTGAGCCACTGACTGTGTATCTCCACCGCTACCGTGAGTTTGATGGTGGTGAACGTGGGTCCATAAGGGGTGACCCACTGATTAAACGAACCGCTGACCCAGGTCCATATGGGATGGGTCCTTTTGTGCATGGGTTTCATATGGGTCATCATCATAATGGGTTCTTTGGTCCTGCTAGCATTGGTGGGTTCTTAAAGGACCCATCAAGTGGTGGGCCTTCTGGAGCAGCTACAGTTGCAGGTTTTGAACCGTATGCTCAGTGTAAAGAGTGAGAAATGGTGGTGATGATGAGATTATGATGCATGTGGTTTGTTGTTGCTTCTTTTTTTCTTTTTTTCTTTTTTTCTTTTTTTGTTCATGGTGAAACAAAATTACATTGGGTCACTTTGGAAAGGCATGTAAAACGGTTAACATGCTCATTAAGTAGTGGTAATCTGCTTTCCTTTATAAGATTTTTAATTGTCTGTTTGGTATTATAGAATGGATCTGAAAGCAAATAAAATGAAATATAACCTATAATGGGCACTATATGTTGAAGTTATGATAAACTCTAACACTATAAAATCTCTATAACAAGAGGAATTTAAAATAGTATTAGAATTTGCTATTTGAATCTAATAGAGAGTTGTAGTACTCGGAATTACCTACGTGTGGATATAAAGAACGTCAAAAACGGAGTTAGTATGCAAAAGTTGAGACCTTCCGAAGTTACAGCTGTCTTAGAGCATGACACATGTCAGAAACCCTAATCTGACTAGACTCACGACGTGAGCATAAAAACTCACGCCGTGAGGAGTCAAACCGCCACATTTTGAAGCTAGAAGTCTATAGAATGATAACCCAAAAGCTCACAACGTGAGCGAGGTTTTCTCACGATGTGAAGACGCTGCAGGACACTATTCGAGGCTAGAAAACACGCGTTAAAGCTATAGGATGACTCTTGCCATAGCTCACGACGTGGATCTATCATTCTCACGTTGTGAGGGCCAAAAAGCAGCCTATAAATAGAGGCTTCGACCTCAGCCATTCCTCACACCTAATCTCTTCTCTCTCTCTCTCTCTCTCTCTCTCTCTCTCTCGTTTGCTGAAGCCGTTTCGCTTCCCGAGCCCGGTGATCGCAAACCGCTAACTGTTTTTAGTTAGATTCTATCGAAGCACGATATTAAGGTGAGTTTCACGGCCCCACTTTCTAATATTTTCGGGGGGAAACGCATGCTAAATATTGTATATACGTTACTATTATGTCTATATGATAGTATATTAGTATCAACGTAGATAGTTATATTAACAAGGATATAGTTATTCTAAATATAATATTTTGAATATATACAACTATTATCAACTTGTTAGCATGTTATTGTATTAATGTAGATCTTGAGTTATACTTAGGATTCTATATATATGTTGTGTGCGATATAGTTTCGAAGTTATATTCGGGAGTTCTATATGTTAAAAAGTATGTTGTTGTTATTGGTTTTATGTCAAGATAAAACTTGATATGTTATATATTATTGTTGGTTTTATGTCAAGATAAAAACTGGTTTTACTTCAATTTATAGCTGTTATACTGCCTAAATGTTATTAAATTAGGAGTAATGTTTAAAAGCATAGTCCAGTAACTTAGGGTTTTAGACACGAAAATGCTTTTGTTATTAGAACTATAGAACGCCGTCAAAGTTTACATGAGCTATTGTATTCATCAACTAAGATTGGAAATCTTAGTAGAAATCCTCTGACCTGTAACCGTTAATCCGGTGTGAGCGAGGAAGTTGTATATGAATCTATACGGGTTGACAACCCCACCCGTGGTTGCTAGCTCCAACCCAACGGTATTCGGGTGATGAACTTGCTTAATTTACTACCTTCTGACATCGATGAAGCGTGCGGAAACTACCGTAAGGTGCGATCCTTGTACTACCGCAAGGTGTGATCCTCGTACTACCGCAAGGTGTGATCCTTGTACTACCGCAAGGTGTGATCCTTGTACTACCACAATGTGTGATCCTTGTAACTACCACAATGTGTGATCCTTGTAATAATAATAAGAGGTATAAAACTAAGTAATACAAGTCGCAGCTACAGACTCATGGTAGCACAACTTTAGAAGCATTATACTTTGTCGATATACAAGTATGAATGTTAAGTATAAGTTTCTCAAAGACTTATACTCTAAGTATAAGAATCTAGTAGGTATATTACTTGTATATTAATTAGACCACTATACCTATTCTACTTACTCGTATAGAATTGAAATAAGATTTATACGTAGCAAACTTAGTTTGTATGGGATTACAAAACATTTGTATGAGACTTATAGGTATACTACTTATTTCGTAAGTAAACCATTATACATAGGATATATGTATACTAAATGTTGGAGAGTGAAAACGATACTTTCAAAACTATACTTTTGAATTGAGAAAAAGTACTATTTCTACTTAGAGTCAAAACCTGTGAACTCACCAACTTTATGTTGACGTATTTTAAATTGCATGTGATTTCAGGAAGTTGATAACTATGATACGAGAAATGACCTTACACCGCCCGGTGTTTCCACCGACAGCCGGGGTGTGACAGATTTGTATCAGAGCTATTAACTATAGTGAAATAGTACTTTCTTAGGAAGGCACGACTATAGTTTGGGGCTTACTTTGTTAGGTTTAGGTATATCCCTTAGCCTACAAATATAAAGTATTATTAATTATACTACTAAAGGACTACTTACGGGAGGGTGAGAGGATAGACATGTCGCTTGGGTTGCTGGATTTCAGAACGGCTATATGCTAAAATGATCCTGCCGTCCGACTGTCCTGACTGGCCGGTGCCTTATCAGCTAGCCCTGATGTAACGAACAATAATTAATAGAGCATGGATATAAAAAATATAGAGTCATATATTAAGACTCAGACCCACGATGATAATACACCTAAATACCCGAAATGTTTTTGATCTCAAGGATTTAGATCAGATATTCCAACTAAAGTTCATATGTGCATAGATCTTATCACAACTAGGTGTAGGTGTACAACTATATTTTATTATGATCAGATCATATGAACTATTTAAATTGGGAGTAATATTTGATAGACTAAACACTTGGTGATCCAAAATGTATAGGAACTAAACAAAATGCCTAGAAGAAGTAACGCTCGTCTAAATTTTAACCAACGACCAAAACCACAACAACAACAACCGCAACCACCACCACCAGAAATAAACCCCTCAATAAGTTCAGTAGAACTTGAAGAAATCATAGCTCAGAGAATCGATGTAGCTCTAGCTAATGTTACAAGAGGTGGAGTTAGAAATGAAGGCAATGTAGGGACCGCCAGAATGTGTACCTACACGGATTTTATGAATTGCAAACCTAAGAGCTTCCATGGAATGGAAGGGGTTGTTAACGTGACCCGGTGGATTGAAAAGGCAGAATCAATATTTCAAATAAGCTTCTGTCCGGACGACTGTAAGGTACGATTTTCTACGTGTACCTTCGCTGATGCAGCGTTAACATGGTGGAACAATCAGGTAAATACAATGGGTATTGATGTCGCAAACTCCATGAAATGGGAAGAGATGAAGAGGATTCTAGTAGAGGTGTATTGTCCTAGAGAGGAAATACAAAAGTTGGAGCAAGAATTGTGGAACCTAACAATGAAAGGTTCAAAGATCCATGCTTATACCACCAGATTCAATGATCTTGCGGTGATGTGTCCAGCTCTTGTAACCCCCGGATATAAGAAGATCGAGCGATATATCTGGGGTCTAGCATCACAAATCAAAGGAATGGTGTCACACCCCGAAACTGGAACGGCGGAAACGTTCTGGGGTGGAGGACGTCATGTTTAGTATCACAAGTAATGCATCATAGTAAGAAAAGTAATAAACAACCATTTCATTACAAAGAAAGTTTTTACAAAGTATGTGATTCACATAATATAGAATACATAGCTAATAACAAAAATACATGAAGATCTACTGCTCCATCTTCTGAATCCCAGTTCGCGTACCTGTCTACTGGTCTCCTGAGAATACAAGTTATTTTGAAAGCGTAGATCAACATTTAGGCTGGTGAGTTCATAAGATTTTAGTGATGTAGTAAGTTGTAAGAAAGTTGTAGAAAGTTATAGTAAGTTGTAGTAAGTTATGTTTAAAAAAGTTTGCCTGTTCCTCTAGAAAATCCTATATTTCCTGCTTTGATGAAAGATAAGTAAAAATGATTGTACAGTCCTTTCTATGAGTATTAAATGAATACAAGTTATATAAACCCCAGAGTAAACAAACAATCGATTGTGTGTATCTGCCCTAAGCCCACAACCAAACAAGGAACAGGAAATGAGGCGGAAGGCACACATCCCATTGTTTGTTAGATCATCGTTGTATATAACTCTGGCGTATTCACTCGGTACTCAGGGAGTTAACTCTAATAGTTCCTTTAGTTTGATGAAAAGATTCCTTAAGAAAACCCTTATTTCTTATAATAAAAATGGTAACCACAGTGGTTCCTTCTATAAATACTTAGTTTATACTAGCTATATATAATCTAATATCGAACAGATAGTTAATTGTGTGAATCTGCCCTAAGCCCACAACCAAGCAAGGAACAGGGAATGAGGCGGAAAGCACACATCCAACTACCTATCGGATATTAACTATATATAACCCTGGTGTATAAACTAAGGTATTATAGAATTAACCACCTAAGGTCCTTTAAGTTATACTCATTTAATAAAGTGGATTAAACCCTTTACTGGTTAAGTTTCTAGTTTTGTATACCAAAAGTTCTATTTGAAAAGTATGATTTGTACTAGAAAACGGTGCATTGAATTAGTGTCCTATGACCTGACCCATACCTGGTACCCCTTATGATTACTTAGTGTATACGGAAACATATATATATCTAAGATCGGATAGATAGTAGGCTGGGTGTATCTGCTCTAAGCCCACAACCAAACAAGGAACAGGAAATGAAGCGGAAAGCACACATCCTACTACCTGTCGGATTCGATTAATATATATCCCTGAATGCATACACTAAGGAATCATAAAGTTAGCATTATAGGTCCCCTTCTACTGAATGTACTAGACTTGACTGTTCTGTTTGTCGTTTGTAAAATGTAAGTTTTCCCTAGTCTATAACTATCTTGACTCGAAAATAGTTTGTATTAACTTTCAAGTGGAACTGTCACAAAATGAAAGTAATGGGAAAATTATAAGTACACAGTTGTCTTTTGAATTGACAAACTGACGTACTGCTTTCCTTAAAACATGTTTG